TATTTTGTTTATAGAAAATTGTTCAGAAGAGACCGAGGCATATTGTCGCTTTGTTGAATATGATTATGACGTGGATGAGGTAAATAATATTTATAAAAACATTACTATTTTGGTAACATGATTTTATAATTATGAAAGTAAAATTTGGTTGATTTATTGTCGCTCTGTTATGTAGTCTTTCCATTGCTAAATAAATAATAAACTTTTTTAGAACCTTCTTGGACTATTGTGTTTCTTTTCTTGAAGTCGATTACTCTTATAAATTCCTAGGGAACATGCTCCAGTATAGAATATTAGAGAGAGTAAATAGTCGACTATTTGTTTCTTGTGGTTGCACACTTTATGTTCAAGTCTTTTTGGTGTCATTACTTTCTCCATCTTTTCCTATTATTATACATTTATTATGATTTTTCTGTTTTTATGTTGGATGTAAAAACTATTTCTAATGGATGTGCATGAGAATGACATTGTAGCAATCATATACGTTACATCTATAATCCTTTATTACTTGATAACTTGTGTCATTTGGTTGTTTAGGTACCTTTTACCGTTGTTGCTTCAGTATGATTCAACTGCAGAGGAATGAGGAATCTGATATAGCAAAGTCCCATGGTGTTGGTGCTAGCATTCAAAAGAAGACTGGGAATGATGTTTGGAACTGTTGGAAATTGTGATGTTTGGAACTGTTGGTTGAGGAATCTCTATATTTCTTTGTCAACATTACTAATTTGACGTGAGTGATTGCTAATATGATTTGATGTGGTCTTTTAATCTTATTGAATTTAATAGCTAGTCGTCTAATCTCTGTAAAATTACACAATGTAGCATACTGGGAACTTTAAAATGGACTTTTAATTCACAATTACTTCAACAGGTTTGATTATGGATTATCTAACACCAACATCAAACCACTTTTGAAATTTGAATAACCATTCTTAAACAATAACATAAATTATGCCAATTTTTGTAAATGATTGGCATACAGTATTCGGGTCGGGGTCGGGTTCGGGTATGAGTATAACTTTCGGGTCGGGTTCGGGGACGGGGCAAAAAAAATCCCCGACGGGGCACCCCGATAAAAACCTCGTCGGGAATCGGGTCGGGGTCGGGGACAGAGATTCATTTCGGGTTCGGGGACGGGGCAAGCAAAATCCGCCCCGAACCCGCCCCGTTGCCATTCCTAATAGAATGAAGTACAATAATCATTTCGAGTATCCAATCGGTGCTTTTTCGTGTTGTAGAAGTGTTAATATTGTAAATCAAGGGCTTTAAATCGAAGTCCCAATAGGAAGGAAAGGTAATCAAATTGACAAGAGACATCTCACGAATCACAGATTTATATTATGCTTATTGATGCGAGTTGAATTTGTACAATTTAGAGGTTATTGAAAAATTATAAGTAGGTTTCACTTAAAATTTTCATAATCCGGGATGATAAAATATTACTTGAAATATTTAATCAATGAATTTATAAATTTTCATTGGATTATTCGTTTTAATAAATTATCAAATAAACCCTTATTTCCGTATCATTTTCTCATAAGGATGATAAAACACTGATAGGTTTTTGTTAACTCAAACTCGAAAATATGGCCAACATGATTAGTAAATTTGAATTTCAAAAATATCTTTAAATAGTTATAAAGATTATATTGCTTAGACTTTAAAAGTTGGTAAATCTATCAAGTTGCTTCAGTGTTAAAATATAATATTATTATTTATAGATGTCTTAAGTTCGAACAACTATCTTTACAAGATGTGTGCATATTATCAGTAGGTTAAAAAATTACAAGAAAATCAATATTTTATATTTGAATATATTGCTTTCTATTAAGTAAAATATATTTTTTAAAATTTAATTTTAAGTGGGAAAAAAATAACGGGAAAAACTGAATAGAACTCAAACACTTATTTAAATGTTAATAGTAAAGCAATCCAACTTATTGATAACATCTCAATTAACAATGACTAAACCCTACCAATAGGGTTAATTTAAGTGGTAAGCAAGTTTAATTCGTTTAAGCAATGTCTCAAGTTCAAGTCATTATGTATACAGAAAATCCCTGCTGAGAGACTCACCCACCAAAATCAGGTGTACGACGCAGGTCAGTCCGGATTAGTCGAGGCAAAACCCCTTGAAACTGGGATGACAAAAAAATGATTAAACCCTAAAACTTTGCTTTGATCATTATTTAATCTCCTGTCTATTTTTTTTATTAATCTGAGTAAATACAATATAATATTTGTTTAAAGATAATTCTCAACTCTAAAATTATAAAGAAATCACTTAATAAACATATTTTTGTCCTAGAAGTTTTTTTTGCCATCGAATATTTGATAAAACTGCCAATTTTCCGGTGCAACGTCATCGAATTCGATCATTTTTCCGTCACTGGTAGTTACCTGAAACGACAAGCTTTGCCCTACTAAATTTTTGTCAGTCAGCCAATTCACACCCCAATTTCGTTTCATAGGCAACCACGACCCGACCCTCGAACCCTTGATTTTCACATCCTTGATATCACCAGCACCACCAACATTGTACAACACAATTAGTGTCCACCAAGGGTTTCCCTTAATCTGAAACAAAACCCCACCTTTCTTGGAGCACAAGACACGGCGATACTTGACGGGGATGATCCCGGCTCTGTATTGCGCCAGTTTCGTGAACATCGCCATTGATAGATCAAAGTGTTTTAATGGCGGGTTACACCAATTTCCGTCCGGTTTCGAGTAATTCGGAGGGCAAAAGTTCGTTGCGGTCACTATGATGGAGCCGGCATTTGGATAACACCATTGAGGGTTATTGTAACACTTGATCTCGAAACATGCTCCACAGGTGAGGCCATTGTTGAATAATGCTGTGCTCAGGGCTGCCGTCTCAAGTCCATACCCTTGCTGGAATAGATCACCAAATCCACAGGCTCCCTCTGCAAAATTCAAAATGGATGTTATGCATCATCGAAAACAAGGTAATAAAGTTCAGAATTCGAATTTCAACATCTACGACGAATAATATATGTACTTACGCATGGTTTCACCACCACTCATATCACCGTAGAATGTTGCATGGGCATCGTACCAGTTTGAGTCAACCATTCGAGTGCCTATAAACCTTTGCCTCTTGGCCGTCAAAGATGAAACCAAATGAACAGTGATCATGACAAATGAAAATAAAAGCTTTAAGGTAGCCATTGCTGAAATAAAAATTGAAATTCTGAAGTTCGTTATGCTAAAATAAATATGAAAGACTGAGTCCATGAACTGTTATATAAATACATGCCAAGTAGGGTTATAAAGACAATTTATTAATTATGGGACTTTATTTTTTTACCCATTTAAGAGAAGCGATAATTAGGGAAGAAATCAGATGTTGTTTTATAATTTTGGAAAAAAAATACAGCAAAATATTTTTTCCCATTTATTATATCCTGGTTACGTTATACACTAATTATGTGGGGGAAGGGATTAACTCAATGTAAAAAAAACTGAAAAAAGCTAGTATTAATTATTTAATTTAGGATTTTAACTGAATATTTATAATAATATTTAGAAACTTATCTTGTTTAATATGCAAATTATCTTAACTCACTCCTCTAAAAAAAAAATTAAATTCAAGTCAAATTATAAAATAGAACTCGAACAAGTTAAATAACTCGAAATTTTTAGTAATTAGTAGATTGATTTTCAAGTTTGAGTCAAATCCTTCGACTCGACTAAAAAAATTCAAATAAAGTGTTATTCTCCCTTGAGGTCTTGGGTTTGAATTGTTGTGTCTACAGGATGTGTGTGCATTATCAATGGTTAACAAATACTATGAACAAATATTAGCGGACTATTAAAAAAAAGAAAAAAAAAAAAGAAAAGACATCATTTGAAGCTACCTATGGGCTTAAATCATAACATGTGCTTGATTAAATTTCTTTGCTATTCGGAATTAGTGATTTAAATTAAGATGGTGATTACGTTGCGTTTATCGTAATAGCAGATATAATAGATACTATTACAGTGATTACGAGTATTGGAATCATAACCGTTATATAGAGGGCATTGTTGTAATCGTGGATCACTATTTAAATTTCTACTAGAACTAGAAAGAGTGATCATGGATATACTTTTATTAATCACTTACGATAAGTTCATCAAGAGGTTGAAGGTTATCTTGAAAGTAAACAATGAGAGCCATGCTAATGAAACTAATCTACATCGTCATATTAAGGAGTTTGAAGGGAAAGACGTAGTTCTTGTTAAAGGTTATTTATCACTTATTATTATTGTTTTCTTTGAATTAATAAAAAAATAGACCAATTATCGGTTGGTCTAATGGGATGAGACGTTAGATTCTTAAGTAAGATCAAGGATTTAAACATTGAGGTTTACGAATGGAGCAAATTGGGTTGGGAGTGTCGCCCTTGCCTTGTAGTATTCGATTTATATTAGTCGATCAATAGATCAGATACCAATGATTAATTTAAAAATAAAAAAAAAAGAAAAAGTAGAGGGTTTTCTTACCCAAGTTTTTCTTGACTTCCATCTTCTTTTCAGTACTTTCTTATTGCTGATTTTATTCTTAACAACATCACATCAGTAGTTTCTTCAATTTCCTCTATTATTGTTTCTGTACATTCTTTTTTCTCTGATGTAATCTGATTTTCCTTTTACTTGTTTTCAAGTTGATGACAGAGTTGTTTCACTATTATTAATATCGATGGATGGAAGACGGTCGTCTCTTTTAAAAATTTAAATATTTATTTAAAATCATTCTTAATCACTAACAACATATATCTTAAATACGGGGCTGGTCTAAAATTTTTAGATTTGACAAATACAATACTATAACATGATGTCTTGGTTTCTAATTTGAGGGGAAATGAATAAATATAAAATAAAAGGTCCAAAACTATGGCAAATTAAACCCCAAGAACAAGTCATCTATCCTGTTGTTTGTAATTTAAACAAGCACCATTATTATTCTTTTCATGTTAATTTAAAACATTACACAATAAATCAAAACATTGGGTCTCACACCTCACAAAACTCCCACCAGAAGGAATTGGAGCCCTTCCTCCGGCCAACTTGTTCAAGGCACAATCAAAAACAGAGGCTGCAAATCACAAATTACAATGCTTTCAAACAAATTTGCCACCCAAAATAGATTCTTAAAACAATGTTGATTCCAATGGGGATCATCAATCTGTTTAACTCTAATTTGGTTGATCTGATTCGGTTTAATTGGTTTTCATAGCAACTGAATAGAATATCGTAGAGGTCTATTATATGTTATATAGTTTAAAATAGAGAGTAAGAGATAAGAGGTTACCATGTCTACACTAACTGGTTTTCCATCCTCTACCAATATCTCCGTTACGGTTCCGGATTGATCAGCCTGAGAAACCGCAAATCAAGAACGTTACGAGAAAAAGAAAAGAGAAATGACGATGAACTAATCAATTCGAGAGTGAGCAAAGCTAAGGAACTACGACGACGTGAGCTTACTTCGATTTCGTTCATCAATTTCATTGCCTCGATGATGCAGACAACTTGACCTTTCTGCACTTTATCTCCCACCTGAAAGACCATCGATGGAATATTACAAACCTTTTTACATTAGCCAAAAAATTGAAGATGGCCTTACGGAAATCTGCAGGCACTTGCCTTTACAAATGGTGGTTCACCCGGTGCAGGACTCCTATAAAAGGTTCCAGCCATGGGGCATCTGAGGGGTGGATGAGAAGAATTCCTCCTTTTAGCGGGGGGAGGTGACGAAGGTGCTGCTGCTGGAGGGGCTGGGCTAGCAGGAGCAGGAGCAGGAGCTGCCACTGGGGCTGCCGGAGGTGGAGTTTGAAACATCGCTTGAGGCATGTATTGTGGCATGACGATTGGAGCTGCTGATTCCGGTGGCTGCAAAGCTTCCTTCTTTCTTATTACGAGCTCACAATCCAATTGCTTCAGTTGCAACTCTATAAAATCTCGTGAATCAACAAGTCTGCTCATCAAATGTAAAATCAACATCAATTATGAAACAAATTCTTCTCGTCAAACAAACATTTGCACAAATCTACTGGCAGGCATATACGAAAATGCTTCAATCAACTTACTTAACAAGGTCCGATACTTGTTCCATGAATGCCGAGATTGCTGCAGCATCCGGAATAGCAGTCTCTGCTGGTTTCATATCATCTTCCTTAGGCAATGAAAATTTAGGTTTCGTGTCGATTGCTGCTACAGAATTCGACGATAACTCTGCAACCTTAATTTTAACAAAGTTGGTTTAATGGATGTCGATAAGATCTCATCTAAAGATAAAAAAATTCAACTTCAAAGTGAAAAACATACCTCGTTAAGCTGCGCATGGCTCGTGAAGACTGTAGTTTGCTTACGATTAAGCCACTGCAAATGACAACCAGATATCGAGAAAACCAATGAACGAAACATTATACATGAACAATTGTCACTACAAATCGCCATTAACGATCATAGCTATGCATATATGAATTTGTATTTGAGACACTTTAATTGCAAAGAAGAAAACAATGAATAACAGGTCAATATTTCAGTCAAAACACAAAAATAATCCTAGAAAATGGTCATTACAAGCAAGATTGAAAAAAAAACAGATCCCTAAGCATAACCAGTAACATATAATCAAAAACCCATAAACTCGAGGCCCATTCGCATTCAAACAAAAACAAATGAAACAGGAGTATGAAAGTAACAAACCTGAGATGCTGAAAATGCAGGTACCCGTATTGAAGATCCAAATGCCAAGCAAGATTTGGAGATAACGTTTGAAGTTTGAGGAAGAGGCAAAGAAACCCTTTGATTTTGGCTTTGGTGGTTTGTTCTCAAGAGAGAAGAGATCTTGGGGCAGGGAACAGAGACTGAAGAAACCATGTTAATTGAGTTTTAAAGCAAACCCAGAACTGGTTTTAGCTCTATTTATAGAAAAAAAACGCAATAAGGAAGACGATTAGATTTAAGAAATGGGAGAGAAATCTGAGGGAAACCCATAGAAAAACAGCCGAAAATAGGACCCAAGCAAGAACCTTTTTTATATAAAATGAAAAATGTGGGTTTAAATTAAAGATGGTGAGAAATAAGAGCAGAACTCGAGGGTTTTTAATTTAATTAAATAAAATAGGGTTCGATAACAACGAAGAAGATGGGTGGAAAAGGAAGAATCATGAAGTGTGATGGTTTTAACTAACCTCAACTACATTCCCCATCTCTACCACGCCGTCTGTCACTTGTCTACTCTCTCCTACTTTTCCTTTAAATCTAAGAAAAAAAATTAGCACGAATAAATTTATTTCAATAATTAAAATAATCGTTGTTCGAGTAGAAAGATCATCGTTAAAAGAATTTTTTCTTCTGAAATTACGTACTTATATTTAGTTTACAAACATTTCCTCTAAGATAATAGAATGTTTTGAATTTTCTATTAGTATTTTAGTTGTGGAGTGTACTAATATTATATTTTGTAAATTATTCATTCGAAGTTATATTAATTGAACTTCTCCTGTATTTTTCTATAATGTGGTCATGATTCTTGAAAATGTGAATGTTGATGTTTTAATTCCATTCTAGACTTCACTAGTTATACTGAGACGATATAAAGAGATCCATCTAACCAATGACTTGGTTCATATACTGTTTCATTTATCTAAAGTTTCAATAAATCAAATATGACTCTCCAAACATTGCTATAATGTTATATGAGCATAATTCAGGAATAACGTCTAAAAAGAAGTATGAAAATGTTACATGAATCTTTAAAAGAAAAATTGCATATGTGATGCATATAACATGTTCTTGCTTAATCTGTATTGGTTTTGAGCATTCATTGAGTTCTTATTAACTCACACTCAGTTTTTTATTAAATAAATGGGTAAATTATGCGAGTAGTTTCTTTTGTTTATGGTCTGACCGACTTTGGCCATTAATTTAAAAATTAAGGGTAAATAGTCCCTCACATTATCGGTCCGTACAGTTTAAGTCATTCTACTAATAATTTCTGTTAATCTCCTTTTGTTTAAGTCCCTAATATGGTTGAGGGACTAAAATCAAATGGGAGTTAACGGCCGATAGACTAAAATCGAACGGATTGATAACGTTAGGGACCATTTTCCCTTAATTTTTAAATTAGTTACCAAAACCGGTCAGACCGAAAAGATAAGGGACTATTCACATAGTTTACCTTAAATAAATAGATAAATAAAGTTATTGATACTGGATAACGTGGACAAGTGAGGTAATAATTTAGATTTATAAGTTATCAAGAGTATTCGATATTGGATCATTCATAGTATTACTATACATTCCTTATTCATCGCGGGTTGATTATTCGTCAGCAAAGGTTTAGCTTCTTATCATGTGCTTGGAACTCCTCGTCCAAATTACATAAAACTTAAAAGTCCATATACATAAACCAAACATAGAATTAGAAATCTAAATTACATAATTAAAAAATAAATAGAAATAAGGAAATATAACTAAATAATTTAGAAGCTTATGGTGAAATACTTTGGAAAATTAGGGATTTAGGATAGAATGTTATGGTAAAATAATTTGAGAGTTAGGAATTAAAAAAATTAATCTAATTTTTTTAAATGAAACCGAATACTCGATGACACGATGTGCCAAAAATTATGGCCCGACCTGAAATCTATGAAAAATAATGGGTTAAGTACCTAACTTAGGGATTCAGGTATTTTAAGAGAAATACTAAATTTTTGCTTGAGTCAGTGGACCAATAGATCGAATATATTAAGTTGAGTAATTTTGAACACCTCTAAGCATGGCTGATTTTGTGGGATAATGCGGTGAGAAAAAATAATTCGTTGGATAATGTTGTAGAGATACTATTTGTTCGAAAGGGTGAATGCTACAGTATAGCCCGGAGACGCATTACCCTCCCGGCGTCCATGCCCTGCGCTGACGGTGACTCATTGTCGTCCATGCGTCTATAGAGCCTCCCCTCGAAGACACCGTGGAGTCTAAGCGTCTCCCACCCCCAAAAATCCAAAGACGTCGTGTATTCCATGCGTCTCTCCCTACTGCATGACCCATGCCCCAATCACGTAGGTGCAGGCTGGTAGCCGACATACGAGCTGGTAGCTGATATTCGAATGATAAAAGCTTAACCCATATCCTTATCCTAACCCATACCCTGTAATAACAAGTTGAACAAAAAGAAATAATTTCTTTTAGCTATATATATGTAAGAATGATATCGATAGTGATCATCTAAAGCTAAAGATAGAAGCAACAATTGCAATAGATAGAGGGAGAATTTACAAATAAGATTAATAGAGGGAGCATTTCAGATAGTTTGGTGTGTTTTTTTATTTCATTATTCTAATTTGAGTATGTATTATATGGTAAATTGGTTTAAATTTATGTTATTTTGTTTAAAATTAGTCTAATAGTTTGTTAATTTTTTTGCAAAAAAAACGGTGAAAGATATTTATTTAAGGTATTTACTATTGATTATTATATTAATATTATTTTTATAAATATTTGTTAAATTTACTATTGTTTTTATGTTAATATTTTTTTATATTGTATAATAGCATTTTTATGATTTATGATCATAATGTACCATAATTTTTTAATCTAAATACAAATTTTGAATTTGTAGAGAAAATGAGCAACAATTTTTTCACGGTTGTCCATTATAATGGAGATATTATGGAAAATGAGGTTGGAGTTGTTTTTTTAGTCCGAAAGACTTATAAATATGATGTTCAAAAGGGACATCACATTTGTAGAAATAAAGCAGAGGATATGTTGAACCATGTTTATAATATTTTGATATAACAAATTAAGGCAAAAATTTTTGGACTTGATTGAATTTGTTCAAAGTTTTCAAAAGTTTTCAAAAATAATTCAAAGTCCATTAAAGTAGAATTTGAGCACAAAACTGTTTTTCTAAGTACATAGTTGTCCGTGAATTGTGACTACTAAATATGGTCGCGAAAACATGTGTAAGTATACACAATCGAACAATAATACAGTGAAGAGTGAGTATTGTCTCCACAGGGATTGGATGAAATTTATAAGTTCAATCATATCAATTAACTATTTCACCTAAGAATAGTTAGTAATTGTATATACAAATGAGAATGTTGTGGCAAAATGAAATAGATGTTGGTGGGAATAAAATGATGGTGTAATGTAATATGGTAGCTAATGGAGATGTCGTGGCAAAGTGGATGGAAATGTCTTGGGAAAACTAAATTGAGTGTAGTAGAATCAATTGAAAATATAAAGGCAAAATGAAATGTAAACACTGATTTGATTAAAATTACTTTAGACTCCTCACGCAACAAGCTACTACGGGAATGAATGATAGGAGTCACTTAGGAAACTTAAGTCTAATTTCTCAGGATGATCTTACTTCTATTCTTTCCCAACAAAGTTTACTAAAGATGTCATATTCTATCTATAGTCTATGGACTCGATAGGTTGAAGATGCGTTGGCAATACCTCTTGGCGTTAGTAGGTGTAGGGATCATATTGGTTCAGATAACAAAATATGTCATGGCAATACCAATCAGCATCAGCACTAGCATCTAACCTCTTGACGAGAACTACTCCTTTTAGACGATTGAAATCCTAGCCTTATGTCTAAGGTTGGATTAGGCCTAGTTACTATCTAGAACCCCTTGCTTACGTGGATCCTCATTAGTTTCTCTCGAACACTAAGAATATGCTACTTAGTCATTCTCTCGAACACTAAGCATTCTCCTGAAGAATGGCTACTCTCATAGCTCCTACAACCTTAAGGCATTAAACATCATAAGTAAAACAAATAACAACATACAAAAACAACCATCCATTAAAATAAACTTAAGTATCCATAAGGAACTCCCACCAAATAAGACAAGTTCATGGCATGAAATTAATATGTTCCATACAACCCAAATAAGATAAATGAAAGCAAACAACAAAGTGAAGGAGGAAAAGCCTTCGACATGCACTGTCAGAGCTCCCCTCGGCCACCACGAACTACCCCATCTCACTAGCTCCTCTTGGACGCCTAGCTCACCACTCCCTCTACCTTGTTAAAAGAAGAATGCCACGGCAAAAATAATCGACGAAAAAAATAGAGACCTTATTCTCTTTGAAATTAAGCTCAAAATGGCGTCTAAAGTCTCCTTTCTTCTGGTGGCTTCATCTCCTATTTATAAGGGGAGAATAAACCTAGGATTTTGTGTTAAAATTCCTAGGATACACCGAAAAGGTTTTCTTCATGTGAGGGAGTGAGCATATGAGGCAAAGGTCCCTTTCTGGGCAGCTGGGCATGGTCCCGACATGATCAGCCGACCCAGATGACAGATGTTCCCTCCTAAGTGACTAACGATTGAGGGCACGTGAAGACAATGATAGTTGGCTCTTGGAAATATCATCTTTCATCTTTTTCGCTTCCAAAATGCCATCTGATTTGATATTTACTTTCTTCTTAACAATCTCATCATGTCACGGTAATTCCCTTTGCTTATACGTGCTCCCAAATCCTACACATAATCAAACAAAACACCTTCCCCATAACGCATCACCGTTTACAAAATAAAATGCCATGACAAAATATATTTCCACCACATGCAAGTATATGCTACTAAATGCATCTATATGATCCTATATGAGCTCTTAGATAGTTAATAACTTAAGTGAAAAGGCCATAAATATGACATTTTTACAGAGTTATCACACCCCCAAACTTAAGATATTGCTTGCCCTCAAGCAATGGATAGTAGTAAGCAAAACAAATACCATGAAAAGTTCAAGTTCAAGATAGTCATATGGGATAGAATTTCAGCCCTAAGAATAGTTGGCTTCAACATGCTAGACTAGTTTGAGAAATCAAGTAATGTTCCCTAAGGCAAGATTCTTTGTGTGAGTTTGTGTGTACTTGAATCAAGACCATGCTTAACAAATCTAGAAAATTTCTAAGCAAGCTCTCTTGTTTTGCCACGACATTTACAAGTTTACTCCCACATTGTTTTTCCTCTTCTTATTTAACATTGCTACGAGGGGAGTCAGCCCATCACACTACCATCCCACACTCTAGGTGAAAGGGAGCATACCTTCCACCCCCGAGCTAGTCAGGTAGAGTCATCCCATGACTACTTTCATTCACTCATATGATGTGGCTGCCATTTATTCAAATGCAGTTTTCAGGCAATGCCATGTCAT